GGCGAAACGTCAGGAGAGAATGCCTCTAGACCATGGCCATATAGCCCGAAAAACCTACAACAACCCAGTTTTTAAGACTGTTTTAGATGAGTTAACTCAGGGGTAACAGACAGCCTTTTCTTAGTTTCTTGATTTTGACATAATAAATAGGAATCCATGTGTAATTCAAGCTATGAGATTTCCCCTGACCCACTTCCTGTGGATGGAGAGCAATGAAACTTGGCACAGTTTCGAGTCCTTCTCTCCATAGGTGCCACCTAGGGACACACACTTCTCCCATCTTTTGTAAACAATTGTAAACACACCTTGTTTGTAGAAGTTGACAGGTTGCTCCAAAAGCCATGTTGTGAATTTGGAAATCAGAGTCACATTATCTGAAAAATGCTTGTCCTTCAAAAATAACTTACTTGTTGGAAAGAGGTGGAAGTCCAATGGTGCAAGGTTGGGTGAATAAGGGGGATGCAGTAGAATTCCAAAGCCATAGGAGCATGCTTCCATTTGGACAACAAGTGAGTTGTGAACTGTGTGAAGGTGGACACCTTTGATGAGCATGCCACATCTCTTGGTTTCGATGGCCTTCCACAATTTCTGCAGCAGTGAAGCATAGTATGCCCCAGTGATCATCGTACCCTTTGTCAGGAAATCCATCAGTACTACTCCATGCTGGTCCCAAAATACTGTGAGCATGATCTTGCCTGCCGAGAGTTGTCTACGTGCCTTCTTTGGAGGTGGTGTGTCATGATGCTTCCAATGGATCAACTGGATTTTAGTCTCAGGATCATCGTGATGGACCCAGCTTTCATCCTGTGGGATCAGTCTGTTGAAAAAGTCCTCCTGGTTTCCATGGCACATCATCAATAGAGCTGGTCATATTGTGCCTACCACACTCTAAAGAAGCTCCCTCATATCCAAAAACAGACATAGGTGTGTGCACAACATGAAGTTAACTGGGAACATCATTAACAGGATCCCATATTTATTCAGCAGTAGTCTTTAATGCATTTCTTTTTGTTTGTGCAGCTTTCAAATAATTGCATATATATTTGAAAGAGTGCATTCTTATTTTCACGAAGACAATCATTGTGGTTTCAAAGCATGCACCTGATAGAGCCTAGAATAAATATAACAAAGAAAGGGAAGCTGGCAAAAATTGGTAGTAGAAGACACGAACGAATAGTTTGTGGTCGGAACTAAGCATGGGAACAATGCATGGCATATTTCTCAGTCTTAGTGCAATGGAAATGAATAATGACAGTTGACCGGATGTCTTTGTCAAGGGCCTTTAAGTTTCTCTTTCCTGCAAAGTGAAACTTATTCTTACAGCAAATGCCTATAAATATTTTTAGGACTGTTTTAGATAAGTTCACTCAAGGGTAACAGGAAGCCTTTTCTTCGTTTCTTGATTTTGACGAAATAAACAGGAATCCATGTGTAATTCAAGCTATATTAAATAAAAATTGATTAAAATGACAGATAGACAAGTTAAGACTCTCTGAATATTTCTGGTCTGCTATCCTCATGAGTGGTGCTGGCTAGAATTTTCCTTTTTCTTCAGCTAACGTGTTACTTTAACAAATCTAATTAAAATTCACAATTGAATCTCCCAGATAATAATCTTGGGTGTGCCTGCTTTGTTGAACTACCATTGCCCATGATTTCCTTCATATTAGAAAGTAGAGGATCAGGATCTGATCTTTTTAAGTTTATTTCAGGTCAAAAGCAAAGCATAAATACATTAGTATAAAATAGATAAAAATAGAGGAAACACGAGCAGCTAAATAATTTAAGACCAAAAACGGGCAACAGTGACCGCGTTGTCTATAGCTTTAAGCGGTTCTTCCTCTGTGCATGAGAAAGGGCATTGTGGGCAAGCATACACATGCTGAGTTGTTTGTTCTGCTCCACAGTCACACAAGGTGGATTATTTTAGGTAGTGCGGTTTAGTTGGGTTGTCTTTTGGTCTGCCAACTCCACTCCTGAGTCTGTTCAAAATTCAAGATCTGATCGGATTCCTTTGAAATATCCCAGTACTTGTTCATGTAATACAGTGGTTCTCTAATGCTGCAACCCCTTAATACAGTTCCTCATGTTGTGGTGACCTTCAACCATAAAATAATTTTCATTGTTCATTGGACAAAATTTGGCACAAATACCCAATATGTCCAGATTGGAATACTGGTGGGGTTGGAGGGGAGGATTGGTTTTGTCATTTGGAAGTTGTAGTTGCTGGGATTTATAGTTCAGCTACAATCAAAGTGCATTCTGAACTCCACCAAGGATGGAATTGAACCAAACTTGGCACAGAACTCCCACAGAAAATACTGGAATGATTTGGTGGGCATTGACCTTGAGTTTTACAGTTATAGTTCACCTACATCCAAAGAGCACTGTGGACTCTAGCAATGATGGATCTGGACCAAACTTGGCATGAATACTCAATATATCCAAATGTGAACACTGGTGGAGTTTGGGGAAAATAGACTTGGCCCCCCCCCCCCCCCCACAAATATTCAAATTTGGATGTGTGAGGAATTTGTGTCAAATTTGGTCCAGTGAATGAAAATACATCTTGTATATCAGATATTTATATTATGATTCATAACAGTAGCAAAATTACAGTTATGAAGTAGCGACGAAAATAATTTTATGGTTGGGGGTCACCACAACATGAGGAACTCTATTAAGGGGTTGTGGCATTAGGAAGATTGAGAAACATTGATCTATACTATCATGTATGTTGTTTTGGATCGCTTTGACAGATTGGTTTCTCTGTGTGGACGACTGCATTGCCAAGTCTAGGACTGATTTGAGGCCATGAAAATGATTACCCCTTCCAAGGAATTGCTTTGCTATCTGCTGCCTTGCCATGCCCTTGGGGTGCTTTTCTGTACACCACCCTCCCCCAGCTCCCATGTTCTGAATCTTATGAAGGATGAGCTTCTACAAGGTGCTTCTCATTCTGCAGATTTCACCTTCTGATGTGGTATACAGTTGGGGCTTGCTGATACACATGGAGGACCTTAATTCGAACTTTGTAATGACTTTGTTTCATGAGGTTTACTGGCCTTAAATCATGCTGAAGCTCACATTGGTGGTGTGGATTTTGTAGCAACTGGATTTGGAAGTCATTTTGAAGCTGCGTCAAACAGATCCTTCGTCCTCCGAGGGCACATCTACACTGTGGTATATTAATGCTGTTTAACACCACTTTTACTGCCATGGCATGAGCCCCCAGTGGTGCAGTGAGTTAAATCCTTGTGTCAGCAGTACTGAAGACCGACAGGTCAGAGGTTTGAATCCGGGGAGAGCACAGGTGAGCTCCCATTGTCAGCTGCAGCTCCCCATGCGGGGACATGAGAGAAGCCTCCCACAAGGATGGTAAAATATCAAAACATCCAGGCATCCCCTGGGCAATGTCCTTGCAGAAGGCCAATTCTCTTACATCGGAAGCAACTTGCAGTTTCTCTAGTCGCTTCTGACACGATAAAATAAAATAAATCTGCCATGGCTCAATGGAATCATGGGGGTTTTGCTTGACAAGGCAAGAACAAGCTAAAGACCATGTAGACACTGTAGAATTAATGCAGTTGTTGAACTACAGCTCACATGACTCCATAGCCTTGAGCCATGGCAGTGAAATGGTATCAAACTGCATTGATTCTAAAGTGTAGCTGCACCGTGAGTCACGTTTTCCTTTCCTTCAACATTAAAAATCAGCAATGGACTCCCAGGTCTTGACAGCTGCAATATGTCAGTGTATGGAGAGATCACAAAATGTAAGAATAAGCCTTGTATGCCATCCCTAGAAAGATTTACAAGCTTCTAGAACTTTTGTTATTTCTTTTGCCAACTTGGCATGGGAGGGAACTTTCAACGCTTCATCAAAATTGGCATCAGAAGGCAGAAAAAGAAACTTAAGCAGGAGAATAGAAAGTGAATATTTTCAATCAAGCATTGAAGTGTTCTCTCCTTTATAAGAGGTGCATGAGTGAAGGAAGTATGACATTCAGCAGTTAAAGACAGTGATCAGAACACCTTTTTCTGGTAAGGATCCAGACTACAATCCTTATTGACGTAAGGTAAGTTACAGAATCCTGCCTTTCCTTGTCCTAAGGAAGTCAAGAATATACATAAGGAAGGCAAAAACTTTCTTCATCTATCCATACCAAGTTTAAATTATTTTAATATTGTACAAAGTTCAATTCTATTTCAATGTTTGTATGTTTTTTTTTAATTTTGTTGTGTTTTGGAGTTCCAATTTTGGGAGATAGACAAGAAACAAATATAACAACAGCAACAATAAACTGAATTCCCAGGAGTTTTGAGATCACTGAAGTCTCTCTCATGATTTCACAATGGCTGAATATAAAGCCAATTATTAATACAGTTTTCCCTCGCTACTTTGCGGTTCGCTTTTCGCAGATTCACTGTTCACGGGTTTTTGACTCCAAGTTTATGAATGGTTGCCATTGTCCAGAGCGGCCTTCTATTGATGCTTAATTGTTTATTGTTTATTATGTTACTGTTTTAACTGTCCCTTAACTGTTTTTATGATGTTTAGCATTGAATTTTTGCTGTTGTTAACTGCTTTGAGTCGCCTAAGGGCTGAAAAAAGTGGTATATAAATGAAGTAAATAAATAAAATAAAATAAATAAATAATCCCATTTCCTAGCAATGATGGAGTGTGGAAGGGGGTTTCACCCTCCTTCTGAGGAGAGAGGCAGCGAATCAAGAGAAATTGCAAAGCAAAGCAGAGATATATTGTCGAAGGCTTTCATGGCTGGAATCACTGGGTTCTTGTAGGCTTTTTGAGCTATATGGCCATGTCCTAGAAGCATTCTCTCCTAATGTTTCACCTGCATCTATGGCAAGGTCACAACCTCTGAGGATGCTTGCCATAGATGCAGGCGAAACGTCAGGAGAGAATGCTTCTAGGACATGGCAATATAGTCCAGAAAACCTACAAGAAACCAAAGCAGAGATAGCTAGCAAAAAAAAAAGTGTATGGTGCCTTTAAATTTCTCCTTGCTTCTGCCTCACGCTCAGAAATCGATATACTTATATAGTGTCCCTACTTCACGGATTTTCACTTTTCACGGTTGGTCCTAGAATGTAACACCCACGATAAGTGAGGGAACACTGTAACACTCAAAGTGTTGAAGTATGTGTGTCTGCATATGAGTGGGTGCATCTACACTATGGAATTAATGCAGTTTAACATTATTTTAAGTGCTATGACTCAATACTATGGAATCAGGAATTATGTAATTGTGCAAGGTTTTTAAACAAAAAGTGCTGGTGACTCACCAAAACACAACATCCTTGATTCCATAGCATTGTGTTATGGAAGTCAAAGTGGTGTTAAACTGCATTAATTCTACAATGTAGATACACCCCATGTGCGCGTGAATAAATAAGTGCCAAAAGTGAATAAAACGTTATGGCACTCCACATTTGAACAACAATACTCTGTGTGCCAGGCCCATAGCCAGGATTTCAATTGGGGGGGGGGGGGTTTGGGGGGGGGCTGAGTCTGAGTGAAAGAGGGTCTACCCTAGCAAACCTTTTGTATCGTTACCACAATACCCCCATGCATATGGGATATATTGAGTATGGTGATCAGATCATGATATGAATAAACATAGCAGTTTAAATAATGCACCAGTAAGGCCTTTTCGCGAACCACCATGAGAATTTCGGGGGGGGGGGGCTGAAGCCCCTCAAGCCCCCCAAATTCGGATGCACAAATTAAAAAATAATAATCTGTCCAAAGCATGCTTACCCTGAATCTTTTTCCCCAGACACTTCTGACCAAAGAATTTGCTTCACTGGAGAGCTAATCTTCATATCACCTGCCACACTGTACCTTTTGACCATTATGCAGGCTATCTTGGGGCTCTTCCTCATCTCTGCTTTTCTAACAGCAGGTAAGGGACAACGAGAAATATATCTCATGAGCAGATTTTTCTATAGAGGAACAGAATTCAATCCAACTTAACTTAAGATAAGGCAAGATCGGGCAACTGCGATGTATCTGTGTCCCTTTTAAGAGGCCACACATTATGGGCATTATGCAATGTTTAAAAAATATTGGGTGGGCTTGCAACTTATTTAAAGGAGGAATTTTCTCTCTTTTTTATTAAGAATTGTATTTGTTATATAGATTAAAAAAGACAAAACAAGGAGGAAAAATGGGGGGAGTGTGCGCTTCGGGAATAGCAGCGGGTAAGGATATGGGTATGGGTAAAGATAAGGATGGGGTGGGTGGGTGGTTGGGTGGGATAATAACATGGGGAGGGGGGAGAAGAGGGGAGGGCTGGTCTACCTCTCTCACCTTGTTACCTTTTACAAGTGAATGCACTCTCCGAGAGAGATAGGGCCTCACAGCAGAGCCGGTCTCTTGGCAGAGCAATCCTCTTGTCTTGGGTGGCATGACTCCCACCATCCTAGATTAGTAGCGTGCTATTCTACCATATCTGTGATTTCACAGAGACCACCAAGGAGAAGGAAAGGTAAAGAGTGGTCATCTGTGAAATTCACACATCTCCGCCCATCCTCCCCGCTATTTTCATGCCTCGGTTTCTCTTGCTGCCATCATGCAGCGGACATGGGGAACTGAGGGGGTAGCCCCTCCCACTGGCTATATACCTCCATGGGGTGTGTGGACTGGGCTTCCGCCAAAATGTATCTTAAGAGTTCTAGAAGATTCCGAACTGACTGTGCAGGCGCTGCAGGTTCTGAATGGTAACTCCCTCCATTGTATATTCTCTCTTTTAGGGCATATCTACACCGTAGGATTAATGCAGTTTGTTATTGCGCTTTAACTATTGTGGCTCAATGCTATGAAATCCTAGGAGTTGTAACTTGAGGAGGCACCATGACTCCTTGGCAGAGAAGGCTAAAGACAGTAAAACTACAACTCTCACGATTCCATAGCTGGTACAGAATTGCAACAAGTAAAAGAGTATTTGAACAGTCCATCTCAAGCAAGAGAAGCCTTGCATAGTTCATCTCCATTCATATTTTAAAGCCAGATAGAACCCAGATCTGAGCAAATATCACTTCACTTAGGTGAACCCTCGTTGTCCGAGTACAATTGTCTTCCAAGATCGGTGTCCTGGTGGTGGGTCGTAGGTGACTGTGGAGCCCTATTCTTGATCTGCATGTTCTCCCGCAGTGAGGGCATGGTTTCCAGGTGGAAGGCTGTCCTGGTCAGGTTGGCTTGAGTGCCTTCCTCTTGGCACGTTTCTCTCTTTTGCCCTCCATTCATGCCTCTTCAAATTCTGCAGCACTGCTGGTCACAGCTGTCCTCCAGCTGGAGCGCTCAAGGGCCAGGGCTTCCCAGTTCTCAGTGTCTATGCCAGAGTTTTTAAGGTTGGCTTTGAGCCCATCTTTAAATCTCTTTTCCTGTCCACCAACGTTCCGTTTTCCGTTCTTAAGTTCGGAGTAGAGCAACTGCTTTGGGAGAGGGTGATCCGGACAATGTGGCCAGTCCAGCGGAGTTGATGTCGAAGGACCATTGCTTCAGTGCTGGTGGTCTTTGCTTCTTCCAGCACGTTGACATTTGTCTGCTTTTCTTCCCAAGAGAATTGCAGGATTTTTCAGAAGCAACGCTGATGGAATCATTCTAGGAGTTACATTTGATGTCTGTAGACAGTCCACATCTCACAGGCGTAGAGCAGGGTTGGGAGGACAATAGCTTTATAAGCAAGCACCTCGGTATCCCTACAGATGAACAAATATAAGAAAGTTGGTTTAATATGCCATTGCAATACTTTTATGTTGTAAGGCTAGGGGATAAAACCTATGTTGATGATGTCTGTACTGAAAAGTAGATGCTAATTTTAGTTCTGTTAATTTGTATCAGTTCTTTGACTTTACATCAGTTTACTGAACTAAAAACATACCAAAATGCAGGTGAAAAAGAATCTAATTCATAATTTCATTCCCCTTCTCCTCAAAGCTTTATTTTGTTGTAGGAAGCAGGGTTTCTTTTGGGAGGGGGGGGGACACACCTTATTTCTTACCCACCCACACACATGGGTGAGAAATAAGGTTTTCAAAATGTGATGCATCCCCCCCTGCCCCGGGTCAGACAAGAAAATAAGGACTGGAAGGAAAGGAAATGAATTCATGGCTGCAATTCACCTGCATTCTGCTGTGTCTCTGCAGGGTGTACTTAGATGTGTTCCACCTATAAGGCTGCACACATGGTGTAGAAACTACAGTCTCTAACTTCAACAGCTGCAAGGTTAGGCCTTGCTGAACTGCAGCTCGAAAGAACTTGAGATGAACTTCATATTGCTAAGCTACATACAAAAGAAAGGAAACCGCGTGTGAAGAAAATGTCCTTTCTCTTGCATATAGCTTAGAAATTAGCGATCACAACTAATTTATAATCACTTCTCTTTCTCCCACCAGGTACTGCTTTAGAATGCGAAGCTTGTGTTGGTGTTGGCATGACTTGTACTGGCAAGAACGTTTCATGTCAAGCTGGTTATGATACCTGTGCCACTATTGTTACAGACACAAGAGGTGGGTGAGAAGCTGTCCAGCTGGTTCTGATACCTGTGCCAGTATTGTTACAGAAATCATAAAAGGTGAGTGAGAAGCTGCCTGTACTACTATGCCTAGGGTTGCTGGATGCCGAAATATGGCCCTGAGTATTACCACCTATGTAATAAAGACTACAGTGTACCCTTGCTACTTTGTGGTTAACTTTTCACGGACTTGCTGTTTTGCGGTTTTCCTCTCAGTCTGTCCTCCCTCCCTCTCTCCAGCCTTGAAGGTCCTTCCCTTCCTTCCCTTTCCTCTCTCTCTTCACCTGGCGATGGGAAAGGCAAGGAGGGTTTGCTTCCTTTCCTTCTTTCCTTCCCTTACAGCCCTTTCCTTCTCCTGCAGCCACTGCACTGACAGGGAAGGGAGGGGGGCGGGGGGAGGGGCGGGGGAGGAAGAGGAGAGGAAGAAGATGAGGAGAGGAGGAGAGGGGAAGAAGGAAGAGGAGGAGGAAAGGAGAAGGGAGGAGGAGGAGGGGAGCCAGGGAGGAGCCAGCGGGAAGTGTGGTGTGCAAGGGGAGGGGGAGGGAGGAAGGGAGAGGGGAAAGAGGAGAGGAAAGAGAAGGTGAAAGGATTGAGTGAGAGAGAGGGGGGAGAGAGGGAGAGGAGTGGGTGGAGCCACTCCTAGGAGAGGGGGCAGTCCTATGCCTTGCGCGTGCTGAGGCAGTACATATACAGTAGCGTCCCTACTTCACGGATTTTCACTTATCGCAGGTGGTCCTGGCAATAAGTGAGGGAACACTATAAATAGAATTTGAAGTTGTCTGTAATAGTAAAATCTCAGGAGTGCACTGCTACAATGTCTCTGAGAAATAGTTTTTGAACTATATTTGCATGCTCTCCTCTCAAGGACAGAACCATGGACCTCAGCCATGTGACATCCTTGCGAGAAGGGGGGGGCATCTCTATGTCTTAGAGCAGGGATCCCCAAGCTAAGGACCTCATCACATGGCATGGAGCTGGCACGGATCTGGCAACATGAGAAGCTTCCTGTGTTGCCAGATCCATGTGGGAAAGCCACGCACACTACACGCACTCCCCACTTCTCTCCATACGACTACCCTTCCAACCAGCGAAGTTTGGTGAGGCAAGAAGAGATGGGGGCTCCATGCCTTGCCCTTAAGAGGAGCACCCCCGGCAGCCTGTAACGAGGTCATTGGTCTGAAATGACTTGAAGGCACACAACAACAATAATCTGAATTATCTTGACTATCTCATCAGCCAAACACATATTGCTCTTTCATATATATTTTTTACAAATAAGCTATGTGCAGTGTGTGTAGAAATTCGTTCTTTTTAAAAAAAATAGACTGTCTCCTGAGTACCTCCCCCCCAACAGTCTAGGGGACCAAGAACCAGACCCCTGGCTGACGAGGTCATTGGTCTGAAATGACTTGAAGGCACACAACAACAATAATCTGAATTAACTTGACTATCTCATCAGCCAAACACATATTGCTCTTTCATATATATTTTTTACAAATAAGATATGTGCAGTGTGTGGCTGCACGGTAAAATCTGGGGAGGGCTTCATGCAGAACTCCTTTTTTGTTGGAACATGAAGTGTGGGCAGGAATCACAGAAGCATCTACACATAGGCAGATTCAGTGGTGAGATGTGCTAAGCTCCTCTGGAGGTTTCAGTGCTGCTGTAATCATCTTGTATCTGGCTGTGATACGTTTGTGAGAGTAGAAAATTCAGTTATCTTCTTAGGAAACCTTGTGGGCCACATGTCCTCACCACATAAAAATGCCTCTAATAGTCAGTCCCCACTTACACAAGTTTCACTATTGTGAATTTGATTCTTTGTGGATTATTTGCAACTACTTCTGCTGTCCTACACCATTGCGTATCAGCAGTAGTGGTAGCAAATAATGTTGGAAATTGAGATAAATTCCCTTCCAAGTTTTTACTTGAAAGCACAAAGTGGTAAAAACACTGGACTCCTTCAGTTTAGCTTTCACCGGAAAGCAGCATTTATCTTTATTGTATACAATATATACAAGACAACCATCAATCATGTCCACTCACATCTTGGCACACGCTGAGAGAAGCACATTCCTTTCTTATCTCCCCTTCCTCATCCGGACAGTGCAAGAACTTCCAAAAGTGGCACTCTATTAATACTACACATCACTATGTTTTTACCCATACATTTATAAAACCACACAATTTAAACTATAGGCAAATTCCATACTTAAACATTACATACTGAAAATTAGCCACCAATAATCAAATTCACAAGACTGCAAGCCTTGCAAGGCTGAGGGATACCTTAAATCCATGATGAGGACTATACATCCCTTTGAAAAAAATGGCATCAAGCAGCATTAGAGGCCAGGAGGTGGAGGTGGAGGGGGCAGAGAAAGGCACAGAGAAATCCTACACCCAAGCAAAAATATCACTCATAGAGAGAAATAATGATTAATGATTACTTTAATTATTTGTATATGGCACTGTGTAGTTTTTATTTCTTTTGACAACTAGAGTCTACCAGTGGAAAGCTGAGACAGAAAGAGTAAATTGGTTAGAACTGTGGTTATTTGGAACAGCTGTTTACATGACCATTTCAAATCCTTCCATTCATTCTCTTTTTATTTGACAGAGCCAGTCCCAAATAATCCTTTGCCATCCCATTTTGCAGCCACTTTTTAAAAGTGCCTGTTTCTTTCTCCTTCTTCTATTTCCCTTCTTTGAATTTCCCTTTTTCTCCTAGGCAGACTTCAGCTGCTCCTACCAAAGAGCAAATGTAGTATGTGTTCAGTTAACTTCGTAGAAGGGGAAAGGACAGGAGGGAGTGGAAACATGCCTTTCTCAGTAGTTTCAGGAGTGCAAACTGTTGTAGCATTTCCTAGATTCTGCTCCATGAATGTCTCTTGCTATCTTGATCTTAGGCCCCCCTGGTGGTTCAGCAGGTTAAACCGCTGAGCTGCTGAACTTACTGACCGAAAGGTCGGCAGTTCAAATCCGGGGAGCGTTGTGAGCTCCTGCTGTAAGCCCCAGCTTCTGCCAACCTAGCAGTTCGAAAACATGCAAATTTGAGGATATCAATATGTACCACTCTGACAGGAAGGTAACGACTCTCCATGAAGTCATGCTGGCCACATGACCTAGGAGGTGTCTACGAACAATGCCAGCTCTTTGGCTTAGAAATGGAGATCACCACCAGCCCCTAGGGTCAGACACGACTGGACTTAGTGCCAGGGGAAAACCTTGGCCTTTATCTTTCTTGATCATACCCCAATATTTCTTGGCCACACTAATACCGGTTTTCATCTGTATTATATGCTTCTTTTTCTTATCCAGGAAATGTGTCCAGCAAATCAGTAATAAAAACCTGCATTCCAAAATCTGCCTGTACAACTGAAATGCCAAATATTCAGATAGCAGATGCTGTTATTGTTACAAGGATTGAATGTCATAACAATGCCTCGCCAGCAGCAGTTTCCTTCTTGTGTCTCTCTGGGCTCTTGCTGATGAAGATGATCCTGTAACGAACCATTCCCAGCAACACCGCCCGGAAAAGGGCTTCCATGTCCTTTCCATGCAGCCCTTTCTTTAACTGGCCACCTACTTTCCCAAAGAGAACTGTCTTAAGCTTTGATTCTTAAGTCAAAATGTGTCAAATAAACACAAATGGGGAAGAGAACTCAAATTCAGTTGGTTGGATTTTGGTTTCAATCGATGTGCAAGATGGGAGAGGAAAGACAAAGATTGAGAAGCCTTTCACACCACTATGATTCCATCTCAACTGCCATGACAAAATCCTATGGAATCCCGGAGGTGTAGTTTAGTGAAGCACTAGCGTTTTCTGACTGAGAATTTGAAATATCCCACACTATACTACACATCCCAGAATTACATAGGGAGTTGGTATGGCAGACGAAGTGGAATCAAAGCAAAACAATTGTGTAGTGTGCAAAGGACTTAACATTCTATTAGAGTTATCATTTGCTAGAGGTCGAGGTTCCTTCTGTTCCTGGGTGCTCAACCATCGTCCATGGTGCACCCTCCTTCAAACTGCACCTGGATGTAGACTCAGTGTGCCAAGTTTGGTCTTTATCGGTAATTGGATGAGCGTTGCAGTGGTCTCAGGAATTGCGCAAAAGTACTGCAAGTCCCATAATCCATGGTCTATCCCCAGCCAAACACACACCAGGACGTAAAGTGGGTCATGAGAGGTCTATGTGGCAAGTTTGGTCCTGATCAGACATTGGATGAGGTTAACAGCGGTCTCAGAATGTGAGTGATGGTACTGTAAGTCCCATCATCCAAAGTCGATCCTCCTTCAAACTGCAGCAGGATGCAGAGTGGGTCATGGGGGCTCTGTGTGCCAAGTTTGATCTTGATCAGACATTAGATGAGGGTTGCAGCAGTCTTGGGAAGTGAGTGGAGGTACTTCAAGTCCCATCATCCATGGTCTGTCCTCCTCAAAAGTGCACCAGGATGTAGAGTGGGTCATGGGGACTCTGTGTGCCAAGTTTGGTCTTGATCAGTCATTGGTGAGGGTCTCAGTGGTCTCAGGAAGTGAGTGAAGTGACTGCAAGTCCCATCATCCATTGTCAAATTCTTCCAAACCGCACCAGGATGTAGAGTGGGTTATGCGGGCTCTCTGTGTAAATTGTGGTCCTGATCCATCATTGTTGGCAGTTGTAATGGTCTTAGGAAGGGAGTGCAGGTATTGCAAGTCCCATCGTCCATGGTGCATCCTCCTTCAAACTGCACCTGGATGTAGAGTGCGTCATGGAGACTCAGTGTGCCAAGTTTGGTATTTTTTGGTAATTGGATGAGGGTTGCAGTGGTCTGAAGAATGAGCAATGGTACTGCAAGTCCCATAATCCACGGTCCATTCCGGCCACCAACCAGACGTAAAGTGGGCCTATGACTATACATAAGGTTGCGCCACTGAGTAGGTCTCTGTGCGAAAGTATTGGCATCTTGGTTCGAGATTTTTACTTAGCTGATCTTGAGCTGCTTGATTAAGGTTAGGG